ATATATTTTCTTTTGCTTTTATATATTAACTGCCTTGATGCCCCACATATCTATCATGCATGATTGTCACAAATACGGCTATACATGTATGTGGGTGTCTGATGGACTCGGTGTGTTTGTTACCACGATATCTCAAAAATGTATACAGAGATAAACACTAAATTTCAAATTTAAGCTTTAATCCATCCTCTAATGGGTTGATTAGATTTCGAGCATATTCGCAGCATCTGGGGGTTCTTTATAGGGAGTCGTTTTTCTACTAATACATCTGTTATTTACGCTTGGAGAAAAAAATTCGTCAAATTAAAGTTGCTTGTGATATAAAATTTATAAAAAAAAATGAGAAAAGTATTTATTTGAGTTTTGACTTACCCTGTACAGATTTGTCTAAAATTAAAAAATTATTTACCACAACAGATTGATTTTCAATTTTTTTTTGGAGTATACAGGCCATTGAAATCAATAAGATTTTCATATAAAATTGGTTATAGCGTATACTCTGTATAATTTCATACTATTTGGTATGTTATAATGGGAAAAGCGATGGCAATTTAAATATAAAATAAAATACAGGGTATTCCGTTTACAAAAACCTAACTTTGATATGTTTCACTTTTTTGGAGAACCCGTTATAATTAAAATTATTTTTAAATTGTTTTTTTTTCGGACATACCTACATCTCTTTGAGAAAACAAGTTTTAAAAAATCAAATAGTTTTGGCTCTATAGACCAAGGCGTTACCGGCGGCCCACCCTGTATATAAGCCATTGCCTCACAAGGTTCATTTTTAATTTGTGTGTAAGAAAAATATGTAGGTATATACGAAAGTTAAAAGTAGATTTCGTGAAGCTCGTTTTTCAAAATCTCAAATAGACATCTCTATAAAGATTTTCTCACTTGTTTTTTTAGAAAAAACAAAGTAAAAATTTTAAAAAGTACCTAGGGAGAAACACATGTATAAACTTAGCCTAAAAAATATTAAACATTGGTAAAAATGTTTAGTTTTATGAGGATAGAGCAGTAGGTATTTATTTTTAAAATTAAAAACAATAATTTCAAAGTATGCCAGTAAGTTAAATTTCATTCGGAAATAAAAATATTTTTTAAGGGCAACAACCATATTTGTTAAAAATATATCGAATTATTTATTTAATTAATTTCTAAAAAGCTCGTATTAAAATTGTATTTATTCCGTCCCTGTGCTGTTTCAAGTATAACGGTAATGCATATACTTCGATGTATGTGCGGTAATGCAAATGACTAAGGTGTTCAAGCGACATCTGTGAAATTACCTTAAACTTCTTACTGCACAGATTCCTACAAGCTTTGCAAATGCCACCTTTGATATGCATTGTCCCTAGCCGATTAGGTCAATTAATAATTAGCTTTTATTTCAAACAAAGCTTTCAGAAAAACCAAACATTATTTTGAAGTGCGATTTGTTTCATATATTTGATATGTTAGTTGTACGGGTGGTAACGAAAAGAAAACGTCTAAATATGTTTAGTTTTTAAGTAAATACGTCAACAAGTCGAGGGTTTCTATGTGGTTTTGACACCAAGGATCAAATTCATTTTTCGAATATTTTTAAAAACTATGCTTTTTTAGATTTCTTTACAACCCGTAGGTATAGTTCATGAACTAGTTTCTATATTAAAATTAATGCTACGAAGTATACTTTGCCCGAAAGCTTCGTTGAAACTAACCTCTGCATATGTGGGAAATTAAGATAAGCGATCGCCAGCCTTACGAAGACAGGAGCAAAATGATACTATTTCAGATTATAGTGCAACTCTTAAAAATTTAGCAAAATTCTGCGATTTTAACGACACCCTAGAAAAAATCTTATGGATCAGTTTCTGGATTATACAATGAAACAATTAAACCAGCGTCTGAGAAATTTATAAACTAGGCAAGAGCTTTTGAAATAGCTAGAAATATGGAAGCTGCTCAAAAGCAAGTTAGTCAGGTAGAGCATAATAGGATTTAATAAGAAGGAGCTCATTACAAACGTCAAAAAGGTGCTAATGGTGCTCATTACAGTGAACAATTCAACCGCGACAGAGCTAATCCGAAAAAAAATATATAATGTTTTTTAAGAATTTCTTCTAGATATTATAATTTTTTTTTTGTATTTGAATTTATTTTTTTTGTATTTCTTTAGGGAGAGAGAAAATGTGCTAAATTGACATTATAAATATATTTCATTTCATACATTTTTCTATTCTCTTTTATACATTTTCTCCATCTCTCTCTCTAATTGTACAAAACCTTCAATTTAGTCTGAAAGTATTGTTTTTTCCTGGAAGAAACTACTTTTTTGTCACCTTTTTATTTGGTTAGTTGTTAGCATTTTTACGAGCCGAAAAATAAAGTCAGTCCAATTTGAATTGTGTTTAATTAAACATCAAATTATTTCATTTCGGAATTAATTTTTTCTTAGTTTTTAGTAAAACATTTTACAAATTATTTTGCAGTCACAATTTGATGTTTTAATTTGAGTTAATTCGACTTTTAGATGACAGTCGCTACCTACTTATAAAGTGTCTAAAAATTGCAATCGGTAAATCAATGCTTAAAATAAGCCCCATAAGAACATTGCTATTAAAGTAGATAAGTTAAAGCGAAAATTCTAAAAATCAATATAGACCGTCAGATAGTGACTGATTTAGGTGCCCCATTTTCGCATACAAGCCTTGAAGAGGGCTGAAAAGTACATCGATTTTGAGTAGAATAAAATGAAATTTACGAATGGTCCCTGGGGATAACATAATGGAAAATTAGATTTTCCTTGACAAAAATAAAAGGTGTTTTTTGCTCATTTTTCCACGCAAGCCGTTTTCACTATATGATTAATTAATAGAACTAGGCTTCGGAAAACCAAAGGCTTTAATGTTGCAAGTGGCTAAAGCGTTAAAATAAGGGCGTAATCTTGTAAAGAAATACCGATATTTTAACTGATTTTTCCACACAAGCCCGTCGAAAGTATGAATACATACATCGTCACTAGCCCGAAAAACATATTGGCTTGAAATACTCGAACGGATAAGTGCATTTTGAAGTCGGAAAAACTACCGCAATTTTTTTTTTAATTTTTGAGTTATTTTTTCATGCAAGCCTTTTTAACCATAGAATGTTATTAATGTGTTAGACGCAATAATACAATTGGCATGAGTATCGGATGTGGACGAAACGAAAACTTACGTTGGAAAGTTGCAGGAAAATTGTATGGAAAATGCCACCATTTTCCCACGCTAACCGTTTGACACATGCTTAGAAATAGTGATTCTAAGACTATATAACAAAATGCTTGAGTATCGGACATGGTCATCATATTAATTATATATAATTTATTTAACAAAAAACTGACAAAAAAAGTTTATAAATTTCCACCATTTTCCCACACAAGCCTTTTGACATATGCTTAGAAAAAGTGATTCTAAGACTATATATAAAAAGGCTTAAGTGTTGGACATGGTCTTCATATTATTTATACATAATTATTTATTTAACAAAATGCTGACAAGAAAATCTATAAATATCTACCATTTTCTCACACAATCCGTTTGGCGTAGTGATTTTAAGACCCTATAATGAAAGGCACACCTAAGTATCGAAAATGGAACATATAATTAATAATTTTGCAACTTAAATTAAAAACAAGGTGATTTATCAATTTAAAATGGTTTCACGAAATGTCTATTGAATACTTGATTGTCATCATTAAATTCTAAGATATCTACTTTTTCATCTTTAGTAGCTGCATTTTTATTTTATACATACATTAATTTTATAAAAATTCAAAAATGGATCAACATATCGTTGTAACGAATCTGTTAATAGGGCCAAGTCTTTTCACCTCTGAGTAAAGTTGAAAGTAACTACTTGCTGATTAAACTATAGGAATATTGGTTGTTAATCTGTCAAGGAAACCTACATATAACTTTACCCAGAGGTTAAAAGATAGGTATTTCAAAGTTTATATTTAATAGCCATTTGAAAGAATATATAAATTTTTCTATAAAATAAACATATTGTTAATTCAGCACTAAATTCATATTAAAATTTAGTATACGAATAATCACCGAACAATAAATAATAATAACCCTGCATAAATATTTATTGATAAATTTTTTTGTCAGTTCTTTTTTAGATAAATAATATGCTCCATGTCCGATACTCAAGCCTTTTGTTATATCTTTGTTACGGCCATTTGTATTTTTATTAAACTCTTCAAGTAAAATTGGTTGCCTACAGTCCACGTTCATAAATCAATTTAATTTTAATTCTTTTTATTAAAAGATATTTTTAAGCTCATGTCGAAAAAGAGTCCAGTTCGTTTTGAACCTTCGTATTAAAAACCACGGTTTTTTGTGTGTAAAAATTAGTGCCGGCTTGATAAACAATTCCACCGCAAATTAATTAAAAATTAGTGATTTACTACTTAGAGTAAATTAAATGATTATTGATAAGCCATAAATCCCAATTTTTCCCCTTTTTACCCAAATATTCCTGTTCCTTATTTTTTGGCAAGTCAGACTCCAGATATAATCGCAGTTCTTGGAAATTAATAAAGGTAAATTTTATTTAATTTTCATTTATATATTTTTAAAATTTCCCAAACTATTTTTGGTCCTTCGAGCCGGATTTTGAATTTTGTTGTAATTCAGCTATATATATCGCAGTTACGCGAATTGTAGTTAAATAGTCGCAAGCCATCGTGACCTTGCCAATTTGGATTTTTTCGCGGTGATTTGAAGTATAGTTCGAGCATCGATTCGTATATTACCAATTTTTTGTTGATTTTTTTTTGCCTTTATTATTTGTAAATTGCCTATATCACAATAAATTGTTGATTTTCGTTAAAATAAATAGATATTTAGATCAAAATGCCAGATAAAACGGCCGATGAATTAAAATTAGAAAGACTTTTAGGAAAAAGAGAAAATCTTTTTCCTTCGAGCCGGATTCATGGTTTGGGAAATTTTAAAAATATATAAATGAAAATTTTTCTACTTTTTCTAAGAGTTCAACAATGCTATGATAACGGTCAGACACTTGAAAATGATCCCAATAATAATTCTAGAACAAAAAGTTTTGAAATTCTTTATCTTAATTTTCCTAAAACTGTAGAAGCCTATAATACCATTATACAGGACATTGTTATATTAAAACAAAAGTTGTTTCCTGACCAACCTGTAGTTTATGATTCTTTTGAAGAATTATATGGTGTCATTGAATATTATGCTGCTAAGTTATTACCTAAGCCGACAACGGACCATTCACAAACAGTGTCTAATAGTAGTAGTAGTAATATTCAAGCCGGTAATAATAATCATCCAAAAATTCACATGCCTAAAATAGAATTAGTCAAGTTTGATGGGGAGGATATTGCATTGTGGCCAGTTTTCCATGAAAACTTTAAGCATTTAGTTCCATTCCAAAACTGAATTTAGTAAAGCCGAAAAACTTAATTATTTGCTGGGTAGCCTTTCAGGTAAAGCTTTAAAAACTTGTAATAATTTTGAAGCCATTCCTTCCAATTATGATTTAATTTGGCATTTGTTAGAAGAAACCTATAATGATAAAAAATATTTAGACAATTTATATTTAGATCGTTTATGGAATTTTAAAGGTCTGTCTGTTAGTAACCCTTCTAGTTTACACACCTTCTTGGAAAAATTTGATACTAATGTAACTGCTATAAAGCGATTAAATTTGAATGATTTACAGGATTATATTTTATATTATATTGCCATCTCCAAATTACCACAAGAAACTATCAACTCATTTGAACTAATTAGACCCAATGATGATGTACCCAAATATGATGAATTAATAAAATTTATTCGTCACCATAGTCGTATAGTTGTTAAACCTGAGAAAACTAGAAATTTTCATTTACCTCCATATTCTTCCAAAGCCAACGAATATTCGAGATATTCTAAAACCTTTTTAACTCATAATACCATGCCTAAGTTTAGTTGCCTTGTTTGCCCTCAAGAACAGCATTACCTAAAGGACTGTAATGTATTTAAAAGTTGGCCATTTGATAAAAAATTTAAATTGGTAAAGGACAAAAATCTATGTATTAACTGTTTTTCAAATAATCATAGAGTCGGTATATGTCCTTCGAAATTTAGATGTTCACAATGTCATATGAAGCGTCATACACTGCTTCATAAAGTTAATGAATCCTCCATCGGTAATTGCGCTGATGAAGTTATACCAGCACACGCTAATACAAGTAACTCCTCCCAAATTAACCCACAGCCGGGTTCTCAAAGTTCCCAAATGTATTGTACCCTTTTAAATAAATTCAAAAATAAAAGCCAAATCGTTGTTTTGAGTACTGTTGTTGTACGAGTGATTGACAAATGGAATAAATTCCAAAATGTTCGTATGCTACTAGATAATGGATCTATGTCTAATCTTTTGACGATGGCTTGTTGTTAAAGATTAGGTCTACCATTTTCCAAATTAAATTCAAGTGTTTTTGGTATAGGCGGTAATGCCCAATCTATAAATGGTAAAACAAATATGACTATTTATTTAAGGGTTAACTCAGACATAAAACTTGATTTAGAAATTTTATTAATTGAAAAAGTTACCCCTTCTCTACCAGAGATTGTAGTTGACATTAGTTGTTTAGAGCATCTTAAAAATATAACGCTAGCTGATCCAAATTTTCATTTACCTGGAAATATTGATGGGATAATAGGAGCTACAGTATTTGCAGAAATAATGGGTAATAGTAAAATAAGAGGTCCTAAAGATACCCTAACTGCATTTAAAACATCTTTAGGTTATATCGTGACTGGTTCAGCTAGTCCTTTAGCAAATAATTTCATAAATCAAAATTATGGAGTATTCTTAACTGTAGGATCTAACTTAGATAATCTTGTTGAAAATTTGTGGAAATTGGAAGATTTTTCTGAACCAGCCAAGGATAATGATGATCAAGTTTGTGAACAAATATTTATAGAAACTACGAAACGTGATCATACAGGTAGATACAGTGTTGCCTTACCTTTTAAGGAAAACCCCATTCATTTAGGAGAATCGTTCTCATTAGCTAATAAACGTTTATTAACCTTAGAAAGAAAATTAGAAAAATTTCCCGACCTTAGACACACGTATTGTTCTAACTTTAAGGATTATATTGATCAAGGACACATGTCCCTTGTATCGCCTGCTTCTAATAACGTCCCTGCCTATTATATTCCGCATCACTGCGTATTTAAATTAGATAGTATATCCACGCCTTGTAGAATCGTCTTTGATGCTAGTATGAAAACTAATAAATACAAATCGTTAAATGATATTCTTTATACGGGTCATAAATTGCAAATCAACCCAGTGACAATTCTGCTAAATTTTCGTTTATTTCCAGTAGCCGTTACCTCCGATATTCGTCAAATGTATAGACAAATAAAAATAGTTCCTGAACATAGACAATACCAAAGAGTTTTGTGGAGATTTGATCCACAACAACCGCTCTCCATTTATCAGCTAAATTGTGTTACATTTGGAGTTAAATCGTCTCCCTTTCTAAGTCTTCGAACAGTTAAAAAACTCATCGAAGATGAGTCACATAACTTTCCTGACGCCACTGTTCCATTACAACGAGATATGTACATGGATGATTTTCTGAGTAGTTTTTCGAATGTAGATGCAGCTGTTAGGACTTGTAATGAAATAATTTCTTTATTTAACTCCGACGGATTCCAAATAATTAAATGGATGTCAAATTCCTCGAAATTTTTATCAAGTATCCCAGATAATTTAAAAATAGAAGAACCAAAGGAGTTTGGGGATAGAACCCTGAAAATTCTAGGATTACAGTGGAACCCCACTGTAATATCAATCAACTATATTCAAAATATCAATTTCAAATTGCCTTTGCACTAAAAGAAATATGTTATCACTAGTAGCTCGTACCTTTGATCCATTAGGATTTCTATCACCTTTTTTATTGTTAATAAAATTAATGATAAAAACTTTGTGGGAGTTAGGATTTGATTGGGACCAACCAGCTCCAACCGATCTTGAACAAAAATGGATTAAGCTCCAGAATGAGTTGTCAGATTTAAGTAAATTCGAAATTCCCCGACATGTAGCCATATATCAAAATTCTGTTGTTTCCTTGATAGGATTTGCCGATGCCAGTAAAGTCGGATATGCTGCTGTCATATATGTTCGTTCCGTTAATCCTGTAGGACAGATTAATATATCCTTTCTTCATTCTCAAGCTAAAGTTGCTCCTATGTCAGCAGTTACCCTTCCTCGTTTAGAATTATGTGCTGCAGTTCTTCTATCGAAACTCCTAGCACATACTAGAGACACATTCTCTAGTCGTATAACCATTGATAACATTTTTGCCTTATCTGGCTCAATGATAACTCTTCATTGGATTCAATCTAATCCTAAGAAGTGGAAAACTTTTATTTCCAATCGTGTCACTAAAATTCATAATAAATTAGATCCCGCTCATTGGTATTTTGTTCCAGGTTTCGAAAATGCTGTAGATTGTGCTAGTCGAGGTTTGAATCCTATTGCCCTTGTTAATCATCCAACCTGGATATCAGGTCCCTCCTGGTTATATTCTGACATATCTAAGTGGCCGATTCAATCGTTAAAGTTGCCTATAGAAGAGGATTTTGAGGTTATTAATTCCGAAACCATGATTTGTTTGGTTTCTAAACCTTCTACCTCTCCCTTGTACACTCTGATCGAACATTTTTCTTCGTGGTCAAAGTTGTTGAATTCTACTATATATGTCTTGAAATTTGTCAAGATTTTGCCAAGACAGTCTCTAATTAGTAATTCTCAGTTAAAAATAGCCGAAAATTTCTTAATTCAAACAATTCAAAAACATCACTTTTTTGAAGAGTATAATAGAATCCTAAGTGGAAAACCCTTAAAGACCCATCTTCGGCGTCTCAACCCATATATAAAGGATGGAATTATTTGAGTAGGTGGTAGATTGAATAATGCTAAAATCGATTATGATTATCTCCATCCAATTATATTGCCCAAATCAAATCATTTTGTAATTTTATTAGTTAATTATTACCATAAACTATTGTCATACTGGTCCTCATTTGTTACATTCTCTTTTAAGACAAAGATATTGGATACTTTCTGCTAGGTCTCTCATACGTCAATGTGTCTGGAGATGTAACCATTGTTTTAAATTTAACCCGAAACCCACTTTTCCTTTTATGGCAGATTTGCCTTCGGAAAGGGTGAATGAAACTAAAGCATTCTTATCTACTAGCGTAGATTTTACAGGTGCTTATAATATTACTTTAGGACGACGAAGAGGAATTAGGTAGCAAAAGGCATATGTTTGTCTATTCGTCTGTTTAGCTACTAAAGCAATACATTTGGAACTAGAATCTTCGTTATCCACCGATTGTTTTTTAGCAGCCCTTAAGAGATTTTTATCTTGTCGTGGTAATATTGCAAAATTGTTTTCCGACAATGGCACAAATTTTGTTGGTGCTAAAACCCGATTAAATGAAATACATGAACTTCTTCGATCCCAAGAATTTAATGATGCTTCTTTACAAAGGGAATTAATCTTAAATAAGATAGACTGGGTAAAAAATGCTCCTACGGCTAGCCATTTTGGTGGTCTTTGGGAAAGCAATATTAAAAGTGTAAAGACGCATTTGTCTAAGGTCATTGGATCTCAAATTCTGAATTATGAAGAATTTATAACTGTACTTACCCAGATTGAAGCGTTACTAAACAGTAGACCCTTATATATTTTAAGTGATGACCCTCATGCGCCAGTTGCTTTAACCCCCCGCACATTTTTTGTATGGAGCCCCCTTAAATTCATTTCCTTCTGAAAATGTACCAGAAAATATACATCCTGTCAATCGTTATAAACTTTTGGATACTTTAGTAAATCATTTTTGGAAAAGATGGCGCAATGAGTATCTCTCTACCCTACAAATTCGTCAAAAATGGAATACCCCATCTAATCCAATTAAAGAAAATATGCTTGTTATTATTTTACAAAATAATTTGCCTCCTTTGCAGTGGCCTTTAGCCATTGTTGATAAGGTACACCCTGGTAATGATGGAGTCATTCGTGTAGCTACTGTGAGAACTCAGAACGGTAAAGTAAAGTAAATTTTATTTGACTACGTTACATATTACAATATATGTTTGTAGCAAGTCACAAAATGTACATATTAAAATAACAGCTTATTTTTAAATATAAAATACAGAACTACACAATGAAATAACTACATACATATAATTGTTAAGTAGAATAAAATAACTCAAATTAAGTTAGGTGAGTATATATAAAAAATAAGAGAAAACAAATAAAGTAGAAGGTTTAAGAACTATGTAAGTTTACACCGATCGATATATTCCTCTACGGAATAAAAACAATGTGTCAACATAAATGTTTTTAATTTTTTCTTAAATGAATTGAACTCCAGCAGCCCAAACTCGGATGGCAATACATTATAAAGACCAAGGTCGAGGGAATTGTTTTTTGATTTATTTAGACGATATCTATTTATTCTTAAGTTGTTAGCTTGTCTGGTAGGATATTTGTGAATGTCGGACTGCCTAGAAAGACATGATAATTTCTTATGAATTTCCAAAAGGACACTAAATATATAAATCGTTGGTAGAGGCATTATTCCTTGCTGAATAAACAAGGGCTGACAATGTTCTCTAAATTTGGAACCAGTTATGATTCTAACAGCCTTCTTCTGCAGCCGAAAAATCAAAATTGCATCTGAACTGTTACCCCAAAGTGCAGTGGCATAATTTATGTGGGAATGGAATAGGGAAAAGTAAATCGTTCTTAATATGTTACGATCTGTTATAGTTTTAAGCTGCCTCAACAGATATAAGGTACTGCATAATTTAGGTTTTAATTTATTTATATGAATTCTCCAAGTTAAATTACTATCTAACATAACTCCAAGTAACTTAGCACTATTGCAATTTTGAGAATCGGTAACCGAAGAAAACTGCAATTCCTGAGATTTACTTTGATTAAACATGAGATTGTTAGCTAAGAACCAATGTTCAGCTTTAGCGATAATAGTTTCTGCAGTATTTTTCAATTCAATTTCATTTTTTGCAGAGTACACAAAAGTGGTATCGTCTGCAAATAGAACAGATTTAAAAGGACCCATATAATTACTTAAATCGTTGGTATATATAATAAATAATAATGGTCCTAAGACAGAGCCCTGTGGAACTCCATGCTTAACCGAACTAAAATTAGTAATTTAACTTCTCAATCAAGATGTCATGAGAAATGCTGTCGAAAGCTTTCGACAGATCGCAAAGAGTAACTACTGTGTGACTACCTTGCTCAAGGCCAGACACCACTCCATGAACAACATCTATTACAGCTTGAACCGTTGATTTGTTGGTTCGAAAACCATATTGAGTGACACTAAAGTAGTTTTTTG